ATAAGCAAAAATTAAAAATTGTATTGTTTGGATGCTCAAAAAGTATTTGTGTACATTCGACAAATTTAGCTTCTAAAATCAGGAATACATGCAAAGCTCGTTTGTTTATGTTAGAACAGAATATATTCATTGTATAAAATTGCTAATTAATGTTTATTTTCTAATAAGACTTTTTTTAAAAAATTTCCTTATGTTTTTTGTACTCACTGTATATATACATACACAAAATATCTTATATATATGTGTGTGTGTGTGTGTGTGTGTGTGTATGTGTACATTTATTTATTTGATAAATGTACGTACAGCAGTCAACAATCTTTTGTTTCTGCATTATAGATTTCCATCAAATTGCGTAATGTTGCTCGACATTTCATCGATAAACTTGTTTTGCGTCGCGTTGTCGTGTGCATCTATTTTCGTGTGACAGGATCTCAGTCTGATCAGCGTGTTACATATTCCAAGCGACGTGCACGGTCGGAATGGAAATTGTATCAGGCGATTAAGGTGCGTGAAAGGAGCAAGGATACCTCTTTCCAAGGACAAACTGCTTATTGATGCTGGGGTAACCATGTATCTCGTCGCTACGCCAGAAAATAGTTATGCAATTCCTCTCGGATTTCATTGTAGAATTCCTACATGAAGCTCTGCACAAATCAAAGCTGATATAATATTAATACCAAAGAGCGTGCAAGTGAAATATTTGTGTCCGTATAAAACAATGTTAATTCGTCATATATTCGATACCACAACATGCCGTTTCCTCGTTCACTGATTACCTTGAAATTGTTATTGGCTTTACGCAAATCGCGTGGCTAGTGACCATTATGAGAATAAATGTGAATATTCAGTTTCAGTTTTAATTTCACAGTCCATAATCATTCGCCAATATTCTCCGCGGAACTGATATAACGAGGTCTTTTAATTCAGTCGATTTAAAATGTACATTGCAGTTAAAAAGATAAATTGACATTAAAATCTCAAATACAAATTACATCTTTTGTCTTTGTGAATAGGCAAATATTAGCGATAGTTTCGCTATTTCTTATGGCTCTATTTCTATATTTTTATTTTTATTTTATGATTTTATTTCTCTCTATATTTTAATTTTATTTTTTGAAGGAGTTGTTCATCTTTACAAGTGAATTTATCGACGAAATTGATATTGAACATTCGACAAAAATCAATATTTTACATTGACTGAAACATGACGATTGGCAAAACCGAGATGTCGAGAGAATTCGTAAAAGTGCCGACCCCGAATTTTGAACCATCGGAACGATGGCGAATTATGAAGAACATTCTAGTGATTAGTTGTGCTTTTATGGTGAATTTTACTGCTTTTATGGGAGCCTCGAACTTACAGAGTTCTGTCAACGCAGATCAATCGCTAGGCACATTCACATTGTCGGCGATTTATGGTAGTTTACTCTTCAGCAACATTTTGTTACCCGCTTTAATTATAAGGTAAAGTAATTTTTCTTATATATTTTTATTTGCACCATTTGGTATAATTTTGTGTAAGTCAGAAATCAATATACGACTCGATACAATAATGTATTTAAAGACTACTCTGATTGCCACGATATTTTGCATCTCAGCTAAATGGAGAACTCTTGTCAAATCCGATTGCTGTTACTTGTTATCGCGGTAGAATGAATAGAAAGTTTATGTGTGTATGTGGGAAATGTATATCGTCAATTATGGTAGATGCCGGAAATGTTCGATGTGTTTCCTATATATGAGGAACTAACAGACAGCTAGAGTTCTGCACACAATCCCACGGCACTAAACTTTATTACGCGTTGTCGTTTTCACCTTGGCCCGGAATTACGTTACATGGAACCCCCGTGGGTTCGGGTATTAGACAAGAGTGAAATGAATATATCGGGGTATCTGCGCGAGGATTCAGTATGACATCTTCATAGTCAACGTAAGATAAAGCGAAAAGCCTTTAGTATACTGTCCAATATATGCTTATTCTTATTATATTAATCTTTATAATTATTTGAACACACATGTTTTTGATATATTTTTTTAAATAACCTAACTAATTAATTGATTTTTTAATAAATTATTTTGGATCTAAATAGATTTAATAGATTAATCACACAAAAGATGACCCGGTACAAATTTCATGCATGAATATATATGTATATATAAATATGTATAAACATACATAAATATTCATAAACATGTATAATTATATACATAATTATATATATATGGAATATGTTCATACATGTTTATGCATCTCTCTTTCTTTTGTAAAATTATTTTTTAGTGTAATAGAAATAATAGTAGTAATGTGAAAACATAAAAAATAATTAAAAAGATAATTTTCGCATTATTTATTTCAGAAAATAATAAGTTTGGAAAAATGTAAAAAAAATTACTCATACACAATTACGCATAGTTTTATATATAATTATACATAAGTAATTTTTTCACATTTCTTCAAACTTGATTTTTTCTAAAATAAATAGTGTGAAAATTATCTTTTTAATTAATTTTAATGTTTTCATATTGCTATTATTATTTCTATTACACTAAAAAATAATTTTACAAAAAAAAAGGATATATAAACATATATGGACATATTTCATATATGTTTATAAATATTTGTGTATGTTTATATATATGTAATTTATTCATGCGTGAAACTTTTTTACAAGGATAATATATAATTTGTATTTATATAATTTTGTTCCAGCTGGTTAGGATGCAAGTGGACGATGTCGGTTTCTATATTGGCTTACATGCCTTTTATAGCTTCGCAGTTTTATCCTAAATTTTATACTATGATTCCCGCTGGACTGTCAGTCGGATTAGGCGGTGGGCCACTTTGGTGCGCAAAATGTACTTATTTAACTGTGGTAGCAGAAGCTTATTCAACCGTTTCAGATATAGCTGTGGATGTCCTTGTTACAAGATTTTTCGGTCTTTTTTTCATGTTTTATCAAATGGCACAAGTATGGGGAAATCTTATATCTTCAGCAGGTGGGTCATTGTACAGATATACTTATAGACATATGTGATGCTCAAATTTATATTTCAGGGATTAAATGTGTTGAGAAAATTATTATTAGCATATTATTCGTGTCTGCTTCCGACTTGTACAACATTTCGTTTGTAAATGTTAATTTTGATGACGTAAGAATGAATCTGTAATTACTTTGGAATGCTTTACAGCGTGAAATAAAAGTTGCCGTTCTGAATACTAACGAACTAGACAAGAATTTTATTCTCCACTGGTATATGTAAATATTTAAAAACTTCCATAATTATTTTATAAATTTAGTATACATTGATGAAAATTATATTAAGATCGAAACATCCAAAAATATATATTTTATGACATTGTTTGTAATAATAATGATCGGTATCTAGCATAGCTTTAATAGCATAATTTATTATTTATATAATTTATTTTATTATATTATACTTAATTCAATTTATTTGCTTTGCTAGAATATGAAAAAAACTATGATTAATTTACCAAAATAGTAATATAAGAAAAATAAGCAACTTTTTTTAAGTGAAAAACTTAATGCTAAGAGTTTTTTCTCAGCTTTTCAAGATAAAATATATCCTTACTACAATTGTTTAATTACCTCCTATTTTAAGATAAAATTATAAACGACTATGAAATCACGAACCGGAATGAAGTGACGCAAAAAAACATCGTCTGCAGTCCGCGCAATCTTTGCGAAAGCGTATATGAATGCGTTGCTGCTAAGCTATAAAAACACGAGCGCCGATGAAAACGAAATTAAGTTTCTACTGCCGCGAATCACGAGATTATGAAACAATGACACAAACTGCGCAGTAACTAAAAGTTTGGTCGAGCATTTTAATGACCATATTTTGTTTTAATGAAACATATATTTCAGTATACTTATTCATGAGAAGAATTATCGGCATAATAATTGATAGCATCTCTATTTTTGTAATTGTGTTACCCTCGTGTCTCTCGTAATTTTTTAATGCGTCAAATTCAGTGACGAGCATACATTTTTGCAGAAACAATTTTGTAATTATAATATTTTCTTTATTTTTTCATTAACGTTTTTCTTACAGTTCTTTCATATGGAATTGACACGGTTTTCTCAAATGTCACCCTGAACAGTAGCGTTGTGGCCGAAATTTGCGGAGCCAATTTCTGTGGGGTATCTGAGGAAAATGAAAATCCAAATTTACAACGGCCTCCAGTAGAACGAATATACCTTATTTCTGGAATTTATTTAGGCTGTATGATATTAGCTTGTCTAATAATCGCGTTTGCCGTTGATCCTTTATCCAGGTACATCTTACCTTTGTAACCCGCGGTTTTCATCGTCAGAAATATAAATATTATAAAATATTTATATTATTTATTTAAATAATAAATTATGTTTGTATAATATAAGTTTTATAATATATATATTACTCACTAAGGACTAACATAAATGTTAGTTAGAATTTCCCACTCATCAATATAACTGTATAATATAGTGCGTCATATTAGAGTTATATTGTTGAGTGAAAAATTGTAACCAACAGAGTTATATTACTGTTAGTTGTATTTGCTGAGTATAAGAAATTTCCTGACGCTGGAATTTATATGTTATTTATATGTCCATCTTATAGATACGACAGAAACAGAGCCCGCTTAGTGAAAGGATCGTCCGGATTCAAGCTCTTGGCCGTGACATTAAAACTATTAAAAGAAAAGAATCAACTTTTAATATTGCCGATAACGTTGTTTATTGGGGCTGAGCAAGCGTTTTTATTTGCCGATTATAACGCAGTTAGTAAGCTACATATAAGACTGCAGAAATTTAAAGAATAAAATTTGCGTTTAATTAGTAATAAGAGAAGAATTTGTATTATAAAAGAATAATAATGTTTTATATTTTTTACAGTCATTCGTTTCCTGTGCTTGGGGGATTAATAATATTGGTTACGTGATGATATGTTTCGGTATCACAAATGCTATAGCTGCACTTTTTACGGGAGCGATCGTGAAGTTGACTGGAAGAAAGCCTGTGATGATTTTTGCTTTTTGTTTACACTTGAGTCTTTTCATCTACATGTTACGATGGAAACCGACCCCAGAACAGGGTATTATCTTCTTTCTGCTTTCGGGTTTATGGGGTGTGTGCGATTCGATCTGGCTAGTACAAGTCAATGGTAAGAAAAATTAATAAACTGCAGTATTTAATATAAGTGTATTTTCAGTCGTTTACTATTAATCAAGAATTTTATATACAATATTTATATACTGCGTACTGTTAATAATTGCAAAATTATTGTACGATGATTATTAAGTCGAATTTCCTAGTTTACTTGTTGTACGTAAAATTGTATCGACAGATATCTCCACTGATGGTATTATACCAACCAATAGTATAAATTTTAAATAATTTTATTTTTGCGTCTTTAAAGAAATTGTTAATGAATTAAATTGTTAATGTATATATCTCATAAATTTAATATGTAACAGTTAATAACTTTGCGATTTTCAGCATTAAGTGGAATATTGTTCCCTGGTCGAGAAGAGGCAGCTTTCGCAAATTTCCGCTTGTGGGAGTCCACTGGTTCAGTAATAACATATGTGTACAGCCCATATCTGTGCACTTGTACGAAGCTATATCTTTTAATCGGAATACTGTGCGTTGGAATGAGTGGTTTCGGTGTTATCGAGTGGTTAGGTATTCGAGCAGACAGAACTGTTTCCGACAACAAGCCTGCTCTAGAATTAATGAATGATAGAAATATCGATCGATAAAATATAGAAGTAGTAAGTATCGTCTTTTTCAGTTGACGGAATTGTAGAAAACTGTCAAAATGTTTATTTTTTGATATCATTAAAAAGTGCCAAAACCAAAACTTTAACAAAAAAATATATTTCTAAAAAGTTTCTAAAAAAATCAGTTTCTGAAAAATGCTTTTTAATCATTATTTATAATATCCCGTCCTCAAAGTACATGATAAGAAATAAATTGTGAGTCTACTAAATGTATTTGAAATTATTAAGATAAGGGGAAAAATGATTTCAAATATTGTCAAGAAGACGAGATTTAAAAAAAAAGTTTGATTAAAAAAATTAAGAACCGATAATTATGTTATATGCCAATAAAATTACAAAAACATGTATACAGTACAACAATTACTCATTTGAAAATAAAATGATTCTTAATCGCGAAGAGTCATAGGTACGACTTTTTGTTATTTGTACCACAATATATGTTTTTATTTTATTTTTGTGGACACCTACTAAATTTTACACAGGTATTCGCTTAACGACTAAGATTTTTCTTGTCCTTCATTTTAAATACGTAATTTAATATTACATCATGTGCCTAGGTGCTAACATTCAAGCTAAAGCTACGGCTGCTTAGTTTAATTGTATACTTATGTGCTTAATTGCCGACTGTGCTTATTTCGTTACCGAGATCAATTGATTCCTGCCTTCGGGCGAAGGCAGATTACCGAGTTGCGTGATTTTCCCATAGTTAACCGACGTTTTCCGATAGCGGCAATGTCGAATCAATTGATCGGCGAATTGTAATTTAGCATCGTTAAATTGCTGATTGTATCGTGATTATTAGCTTAACTTTGCATTCATCGTATTTACAATTCAAGTTCTGCAGTTCAGTTATATACTTTATAAAACGTAGTAGGAACTTTGGTTTCGCTGGGCAATGTTTCATGAGCAGTTTCCTCTTATTGATTTGTTACTTTATTTCGTGTCTCGACGTAGCTCTTTTTAGGGGAGGGGGGTGTTCATTTCTTCTTTACTCCATTATGAAATATCTACTCGTTCTCTCTTGTTTGGTCTATTTTTAATTTACCAAAATTATCGGACAAGGCGAGCAATTCTGCTGGAAACTGCTATAAAACATTCGCCCGTGGATCTATCTTCCTTAATATGACACTCACGAATACAATTCACATTTTTTTTGTAATACTCATGTTTATATTTTCGTAAGGATCTATTTGAATATTTCAATTTCACGAAGAAAATACACATAATTCTTAAACCGTCTTTGCGTTTTTATTTTTATCACTACCGCAGTTTTTTCGACGCTCTGCTCGTTTTCTCTCTTTCTCTCTCTCCCTCTCTCTCTCTCTCTCTCTCTCTCTCTCTCTCTCTTTCTTCCTCTTCTTTTCTCGCTCATATAACAAAATTTAATAACCGGAATATTTCTGTACAAACATTTTCGCTCTTTTATCAAAAAGGATAACATACGCATCCCACCCCTTAATAAAAAATTTTGAATTTTGCGTTTTACCCCATCGTATATCTCTTTATTCCCACTCTCACGCCATTTCCTTCACACTTTTCATACTCTCTTTTATTTATATAATACATTTTAGGAACAGATCACTTTGCTCGTCTCAGCTTAAAAGTAAAACCTTAAAATATTATTTATTTTTAGAAATTTATTATTTTTTTAACCATGTAAATCTTCTTTGCATGAATTCAGCTATTTTATAGCTATGATAATAAAAGTTAATTATAATATTACAATGTCTAGGTGTATCGTAATATGTACATGCTACCCTTGCGCCCCTAGCTACTCGTCAAGTTAGAGATTTCACAATATTATCGTAATGAATAGCCCATTATAAAGAGGATGAAGTACATTTTATGCACAGTTCTTACTCATTAAACGCGTCTGCTAAGTATTAAGAAAACCGTACTTTAAGAACTTCGTTTAAATATCCTTTTGTGCGTGAAAACGACTGCGGGTTGTCGATCACTTGTAATTAAATAATTGCGTCAACGTATTGCAAATCAAATGTCTAATAATCGCTATGATGTGTGAGGCGACTTTATATGGCTACGTTATTATGATTTCTTTTTTTTTTTTTGTTAAAAAAGAAATAATAATGCAATAATAATTCTTTGATTGTAAAATTACGCATCTGTAATATTTTTCAGTTTTTTTTGTACGAATATTTCAAAGGATATTATTCGAGTATCTTTAGCTTTCCTATTTTTCCGTGCAATTATAAATACAAAATTGAAATAAAGGAACGATACAAAAACGTATTTCGCGATCAAAGAATTATGTTTGTTCGAATATCCCGCAGATCGAAATCAAGCTCTGATAAAATCGAAGTTTTCGTCCGAGCTTTATCGTTTATTCAGCGAATAAGCGGATCGCATATATGTATAGGAACGGAGGATGCGTGCTCATTTAACACGTATACGTCTTACATGGCAGATTATCACGGACTAGTCTTGCAGAAACTCGAATCTTGTCTGTCTCTAACTGCATCTCTCTCTCTCTCTCTCTCTCTCTCTCTCTCTCTTTTCCTACAGGATTAAATATAACTTCAGGAGCGGCATATAATCGTTTATAGCATACTTTCAAAGACGTTATTGCATTATTTAGTCACTAAAGGAATTTCAATGATTTCTAAATACACTTGTAAATTACAGATCTTACGCATCAAAAACTCTCGACTAGATTTGTTACCGAAGTTATAATAGAAATATTATTGTGCTCGTTATAACAATGTGTGTGTATGTATATATATATAT